AGAAACTTAGAGGGGGGGAAAAAAAAGTTGCCTGCCCCTTTCAGGTTGGCCGTTTTGAATTCTGTTCTCTGCGGAACACAGTTTAAGAAACACTGCCATATAGTGTGACTAGATTTAACGCTACTGTAATTTATTTTCAAGCAAACATAATAGATAAATTTGGACACTTCATTTTTGCATCTGTTGAATGAATATTGTTAAGAAACTTAGAGGGGGGGAAAAAAAAGTTGCCTGCCCCTTTCAGGTTGGCCGTTTTGAATTCTGTTCTCTGCGGAACACAGTTTAAGAAACACTGCCATATAGTGTGACTAGATTTAACGCTACTGTAATTTATTTTCAAGCAAACATAATAGATAAATTTGGACACTTCATTTTTGCATCTGTTGAATGAATATTGTTATGGATTGGAATTTCAACACATTTCTGCTATTTATAATTCTCCCTTCCTTCCTTCTTTGGTAAAAGTACAGCAAAGGACAATTACCAAAAATGTATGCACTTTTTAAAATATTGGAGTTTGTTCTCGGTACCAGATTTCACTTGCTAAGCATGCATACAGAAGGTACCCAGGCTGTGAGGCTGTCTGCATACCACTTTGTCCAACCTGAGATCAAATTTTCAGTCACCAAATAATTTGACTGTAAATATGTATTGATTTCATTAAATTTTAGCAACATAAGTGGTTATTTTTTGTTCTCATTTAAACAGTAGGGTAGAGACTTCACTAGACATGTATGAATAAGTTATAAATTGAGAGGAATGTTACTCACCAACCAGTTTGACATTTTACAGAAAGGAAGAGGCAGACTGTACACAGTGCTAAACTAATGGAAGTACAGGCAGTCCCCGAGTTACACAGATCCGACTTATGTCGGATCCGCAGTTACGAACGGGGCCCTCCCTCTCCCTGGTCTCCAGCAGACCAGGGAGAGGAAGCAAAGCGGCGGAACACGCGGGCAGTGGACAGCCCAGACGCGTCTGGGCTGTCCGGAATCTCCATCCCTCGAGGTTTTTAAGTTTCAGCTTGACAAAGCCCTGGCTGGGTTGATTTAGTTGGGATTGGTCCTGCCTTGTGCAGAGGGGTGGATTTGATGACCTCCTGAGGTCTCTTCCAGCTCTGATTCTATAAGATGTGGACTTTTGTGAAGGATTCATTGTACTTGATTCATATCCTATCTTATTTCCAGACGGCCGGACACATCTGAGGCAGAAGAACCAACTACTCCATGCCCATATTGTGAATTCTTGCTTCCAGAGTGTGAACTCCTCTGTCCTGGATGTAAAAACAGTCTTCCATACTGCATTGCAACTGTGAGTACTTTAAATTGAATGACAAATTCTTCCCCTTCCCAGATACAGGTGCACATGCTCACACACACAGTTTGAGAATACAGGCAGTCCCCGGGTTACGTACAAGATAGGGACTGTAGGTTTGTTCTTAAGTTGAATCTGTATGTAAGTCAGAACTGGCGTCCAGATTCAGCAGCGGCTGAATCTGGACGCCAGTTCCGACTTACATACAGATTCAACTTAAGAACAAACCTACAGTCCCTATCTTGTACGTAACCCGGGGACTGCCTGTATTCTCAAACTGTGTGTGTGAGCATGTGCACCTGTATCTGGGAAGGGGAAGAATTTGTCATTCAATTTAAAGTACTCACAGTTGCAATGCAGTATGGAAGACTGTTTTTACATCCAGGACAGAGGAGTTCACACTCTGGAAGCAAGAATTCACAATATGGGCATGGAGTAGTTGGTTCTTCTGCCTCAGATGTGTCCGGCCGTCTGGAAATAAGATAGGATATGAATCAAGTACAATGAATCCTTCACAAAAGTCCACATCTTATAGAATCAGAGCTGGAAGAGACCTCAGGAGGTCATCAAATCCACCCCTCTGCACAAGGCAGGACCAATCCCAACTAAATCAACCCAGCCAGGGCTTTGTCAAGCTGAAACTTAAAAACCTCGAGGGATGGAGATTCCACCACCTCCCTAGGTAACTCATTCCAGTGCTTCACCACCCTCCTAGTGAAATAGTTTTTCCTAATTTCCAACTTAGACCTCCCCCACTGTAACTTGAGACCATTGCTCATCTGTCACCACTGAGACCAGATCGCTCCATCCTCTTTGGAACCCCTCTTCAGGTAGCTGAAGATTAATCAAATCCCCCCTCACTCTTCTCTTCTGCAGACTAAACAAACCTAAATCCCTCAGTCGCTCCTCATAGGTCCTGTGTTTCAGCCCCTAATCATTTTGGTTGCCCTCTGCTAGACCCTCTCCAATGCGTCCACATCCTTTCTGTAGTGGGGGGCCCCAGAACGGGGGACACTACTCCAGATGTTGCCTCACCAGAGCCGAAGAAAGGGGAATAATCACTTCTCTAGATCTGCTGGCAATGCTCCTCCTAATGCAACCTAATACGCCATTAGCCTTCTTGGCTACAAGGGCACACTGTTGACTCATATCCAGCTACTCATCCACTATAATCCCAAGGTCCTTTTCTGCTGAACTGCTACTCAGCCAGTCTGTCCTCAGCCTATAACAACGCTTGGGATTCTTCCATCCCAAGTGCAGGACTCTACACTTGTCCTTGTGGAACCTCATCAGATTTCTTTTGGCCCGATCCTCTATAATCCGTCTAGGTCATTCTGGACCCTATCCCTGCCCTCCAGCATCTCTACCTCTTCCCCTATCTTAGTGTCATCTGCAAACTTGCTGAGGGTGCAATCCATCCCTTCATCTTACTTCTGTAAAGAGCAAAACATTAATTTGAATAATGTTCAGTGTCCATTTAAATATTCTGTTACCTGTTAAGTAATTTCCCCTTGAATACTTCATATTCTCCTTATTGTATTTCATAGGTAAGTGATTCCTCCATTAATTTGAAGCATTTATTTGCCATTAAGTAATACTGGATCACCATTATGAATTCTTAATCTCGCAAACCTCCCAGTAGCAATGTGGTTATATGTTATATAAAATTATCTCATCTCTATTTCTTAAGCACCACTCACCATATTTAGGTGTTAAAAATTAGGCTTTAAACTTCAGCATTGTAAGAGCTACATACTAATTTGATTCGTAGAATTGCAGTCTATAGGTTCTTTTTCTTTGTGAGGGATCCTGATTCCACTCTGACATGTTTACAGGACATACACATATGTGGTTTCATATACATGCAAATATGCCAATAACTTCTTTCACACTGATAGGCATGAATACAAAGTTTAAGGCAAGACTACACAACTCGCAGGCCCCATTTGTCAGTTCTGCTGATATTAATAAAATGCAATATTTACCCAATTTCCACCCAGGACAGCACTTTTAATGAGCAATGACAGTCCAGGAATTTAACTACTAAAATACAAACAGAAGGCCATTATATTGAACACTTTGTTTTGGCTCCCACCCGCTGGCTGTGTGTTGAGCCCCACATAAACAGCAAATGGGGCCTGCAGGCCACGTGTTGCATAGCTGGTCTAAACATTAAAAATTAGGGGGAAGGAGAAGGAACCTGACAGTGCCTGTTTGACTTGGTATTTATTTTTGGCCTCTTTTTAAACTCTTGTATTTCAGAAAGGTACAGAGTGCTATGCCCAGGGGTGCTGCTGAACTGGCCACTGAAAATACAAATATAGAAGAACTACTAGGACTTCATAGGTTCAGTTCACTTTAGAACTTTCATACCTGTGCAACATGGGTATAAAGCAGGCATGTCAAACTTAAAGCCTACTGAGGGCCACACAAACGAAAATGGATAGCTTTCAGGGCCACCTATGATACCCAGATGGTTTGTCGAGGGGGGGGGGGGGAACATTTTAGGTGCCAGGCAGAAGGCACCAATACCAGACACCTGTGACAACTCTAGGGCTACCAAAGAAAATGTACATTGTCAGAAAGTCATAGTTATTCATTATTATAGATTATGTTTTAGGTATATTTTATATTACAACATTTGATGTGTAAAATTATTTGCTCAAATTTTTAAATTAATTTTACATAATTTTTAATTTAAATATAAATTTAAGGTACTTTTACATTTTATATATGAATCATAACTTGTTTTGTTGAAATAAAAACAAGTATAGACCATGGTTAATCAAATAGAACAGGCTTCTGTGAAAATTTCAGATACTTGGTAAGTTTGAGATTTTGCATGAAGCTGTAATTATTCATGTGATTGCAAAAAATGGACATTTATTGATATAAAATTAATATACATTTTGTGATTTTATTTGGGAATAAATAAACAAAATATTAAAATAAACCCCTTCTCTCCCCCAGAGCCAACCCCCCTCCAACCTAATGCTTCCCCCTCCCCCAGAGCCAGGCTCTCCCAGCCCCCCCAACCTAATACCTAGGTCCTGGAGTCGACATTGCCACCTGAGTTGCTGGGGCGGTGTGAGCACAGGGGCCCGCTGTGAGTGCAAGCGCAGAGCAGCCTGGCCAGCTCTGAACAATTGCTGCAGCACAGAGTGGCCCAGTGGCCTGTGAGCAGGCACTTGGCCACATGCTCCAAGCGGCCAGCAGGCTGCACTTCATTCTTTTATAAAAATATTCTGGCGGGCCATAAAAAATTTCAATCAGGTGGCATGGGGCCCTCCAAACACCAGTTTGAATGCCTGGTGTACAGCACTACAGGTGGTTTAGTAGCATTTTATACTCACTTTGCACAAAGGGTAAATGACTTTAGAAGATGCAAGGCAATGAAAAATATAGTTCTCAATCTTTTGAGGAGTGCAAATGATTAACCTCCCAATCTAAGGTGAGGAGACAATGTGGAAATATTGTAACAATTTTTCCTCCATAAAATCAACAGTAAAGCTGTTTTGTTTTCTGAAATTAAATTAACCTGGCTCACCTGACCATTGCTTCAATCTTCTTTTTGTATTTAAGATCTATTTTATTGCGGTACTCAGGTCTCATCAACATAGCGGCAAAACTGAAAGCTGAATTTTTCAAGCCTGCTCTATGGCACTCAATCACTGTTGATGTCAGGATTGGGACAATGTCTGCAATGAAACAAAGGCAAACATTCATCTACCACTGGCAATACCAGTCTCAAACTTCAAGACAAGGATTTTACAACCTCCCTTGGGAACCTGTTCCAATGCTTAAATTATAAAAGGCTTTCTTAATCTCTTACTTGAACCTCCCTTACTGCCAAGGACGTACATTGCTTTTTGTACTACTCTTGGTGGGCAGGGAGAACAACTGGACATCATATTTGTTATAACAATCTTTTACCTATTTGAAGACTTACATTTCCCTGTCTTATCTCTAGAATAAACACACCTAGTTTTTAACCTTTCTTCACAGGGCATGTTTTCTAAACCTCTTGGTTTTGTGCTGCTCCTCAGGACACCCTCCAGTTACGTCTCTCTTAAAACATGTGGTCCAAAACTGGATGGAGTACTTCCACTGAGGTCTCACCATTAATGAATAGAGCAGGACAATTACCTTGTGTATCTGACATAGGACATGCCTATTAAACATATCCCAGTCATTAGGTTTCCTATCACTGCTTTTCTGAGACTTACTATATGATTTTGGGAATAGTTTGATTACCCCCACCTTTCCCCAAAATGGTCATAGTTTACCCCTTACCTTAGTTCTATTCATAGCAAAACATTCAGTGTCTCTGGTCTGATTAACTTCTGTGGAGATATCACTGGCTGGGAACTTTGGAGCAAATAGTAATTTCTGTTATAATGTATTAGGAGTGCAGGAGTTAGTGGAGCTGGCCCGGGCTGATTATGGTACAAACTGAACATGTGGTATAGCTATCTGTAGTGCCACTACTGCTGTCATGTACGAGGGGACTCTACATGTAGCAGAAATTTTACCTTTGGTAAGTAGGTCACCGTGTTCCCAGACAAAGCATACAGAATATAGCTGTCACGTCTAATTATCATAGCAAACCAAGCACTAGCATCTTGCATGTGTACCGTATTTTGTCCTAAGCAAGGACTGCCATAGCGGTAGGACTCCCTGGCTGCCTTGTGCTCTTGAATTGAAGACACAGGACATTTGAAAGGAGAGAGATGACCCAGTGTTGACACACTTATTACAGATGATCTTGAGACTGTGGTTCATGCAACTTAATACTGCAACCATTTAGCAGGTGTTATGGTTGAGGACACACATTTAGCAAGCAGTGTTGCCTTCACTATGTAAGGCCTTCACCATTGTATGCCACGTACCAAAGCATCTTTTCTAGGGTAGGACAGATTTAACTTTTACTGTATACCCACACTTGTTCAAAGACATGGACAACAGTAGCAGGAGAGGAGAGTATCTATTGATGCACTGGATAATTAATTGTCTTGTGCTTTTTTGTTTGTGGGGCCAGAACTTACGTGATGGAAACTTGCTGATGTTGTTGGCTACACGAATAAGCATGCGTGCACCCTTCATGTGATCTCCACGTTTAACATGAGTCTGAAATAAACAAGTAGGTATATTTATACTACACATTACAGCTACAACATTTGGAGGATCTGAAAACTAGTACAGGTTGAACCATGCTGGTCTGGAATGATTTTAGTTAGCCACACCTATGCTAAATGGAAATCCAGCTAAGTTTCCTGCAGTTCCATATAGATTTACAGCTACCAATCCTGGCTCTCAGTGTTCTGTGCTATTATTTAGCTCTAATTTACCCCTAAGTATCTTATAAGAGCCCAGTAAGCAGTGAAAGTGTTGGTAATGCTGCTAGACAACACTGACCTCCCCCAATTCAGCAATTCTCTGGTTCAGTACTGGTCAGATCCCGGGAGTGCTGGTTGAGAGAGGTTCCATTTGTAAATGCTCTGGCCACTCTACGGTTAGAGCCCTGCATGGATACCAAAAAGTGGATGTGTGTGTGATTTACTAGTTATTGTATACCTGTATCTGCATCCATAAATCATCTCACAAGGGCTGGGTGTGTGGGATCTTGCAAGGAAGAGGCTAAGTGAAGGTAAGGACTGGGGGTAAGCGTCAGTATGGGGTGTGTGTATCCTTGAGTGGCCAGTGTTCTAACTTTTCCCATGCACATGCAGAATGAATTATGTGCATCACTATGGAGGTGATATGACATCACATTAATTCTGTGCGCACCAATATGAAGATGGGAGGGGACAAGGGGTTTGGAGTGTGGGAGGGGCTCAGGCAGAGGATAGTGATATAGGGTGTGAAGGATTTGGGGATGCAGACTGCCTAGATCAAAGGTGAAGAGAAAAAGACTCCCCTGCAGCAGCACCTGGGCTTGCAAGGTGAGAGGGAGAGATGCCTTCTCTCCATTGCAGCAGCTCTGGGCTGGGGGAGCAGGGTCTGTCCCAGGAAGCTTCCTTGACGACCTGCACAGGTTACTGTAGAGTTGCATAGCTCACAAGGAACTCAGGTAGTGATTGGGGTTGGAGCGATGAGGCCATTTCATTTGTGATGGCACATGGCAGCAGCACTGCATGTTGCATCGAAGCAGAGAGGAGAGTGGGTACTGGGGCTCTGCCCTTTTCAATGCCCAGGCCAAGGTCAGGCCCTGCTGCCCCAAAGTGTGACCTGGGACTGCAGCCAGTGATGATGGGTTGGCTCAGTGTGAGGATGCTGGTGCTTAAGGGGCCTCAGATGCTTGACAGCCCCAACTCGGATCTTGCCCCCAGCTATGGCCTGCTAGCCACTGGCTCCAAGCATGCTGCGCCCCCTCGGTTGTGCAAGCCAGACACCATAGATCACGTGCTTCTAGTGAGTAGAGGCTTGCACACTTGCATCTGTAGCTGATCCAGGTCCCCAGGATGCTGGACCAGGGAGGTCCAACCTGTACCATCAACAAACATACCAGCATAATTTGTCCATGTACAGCATCCACCTATAGTTTATATCAATATTGCACAGAATTTGCTTCATTAAAATACTAATTCTGAATCTGCATTACCTTTACTAAAATATAGCTGTGTAGAATCATAAGATTTGTAGCCATCTCGGAAGGAATTTTAATTTTCTGGGTTTTTAGTTCTGAATACATACTGAAAAGGACATCATGTGCATTTCGGTAGTTTCCTTTTAAAAAGAAAAAAATTAATAAATGTAACTTTTCATAACTAGGCTCTTACATGAGGGATATAATTAAAATCAGTTGTAGATGTAGGCTTTCATCTGTAGCTGAATATTTTCTTAAACAAATTGACTTGCAAATTACAAGCACCCAGATGCCTGCTACACTATCCTAGACAATATTAGTTCAGTAGCTAAACCGAAAAAAATTCAAAGTGGCCTCGGAAGAAATGTAAAAAGACATATGTGGAACAGCTGAGAGCACATGTAGATAATGTTTTTATATGCTGCTGTCCTCTATTTTAAAAATTACTTTTCCAATAAAGTACAAAAAATATTTTTAGGCCATCCTAGGATGGATTTCTTTTTTGTCTGGACAATGATTATTTCACAGTTTAGTTCTGTAATTAGTTAAATATAAAATGTTAACATTCTTGTAGTGCATATAGGTATAGTACTTTGCTAAATTGAACAGGTGGCTAAAGATTTCATTTCACAACAGTTAAAGCTTAAAAATGAAGGCATTGTATTTTATTATCTCAGGATTACTGCTATATTTTTAGGTAAGGAACTTAGACGAATAATAAGAAAACCCTGGAGTTTTTATGTCTGCTACGCTACAGCACAAAACATCTGACACACAGTGCTATGGGTTTGAGATTTTCCAGGCCATTGAGAGCAGCAGATAGATGTTTATTTGCCCAGAATGTGATTATCATCCTTGTCCCCAAGGCTGCTGTTTTTCTATGAAAACCATTTTCTACGGCTTATGTTAAATACAAACTTATTTTAGCAATGTTGCCTGCAATACAGCAGGGAGCAGCCACCAGAGGAGATATACTATGTTGCTTTCCAAACCTCTTCTTCGTTCAATTCATTTCTTTCCCCTCTATCTGAAATCTAACCAACCACTTAGAAAAAACAAGTTACATGAAAATTAATAGAGCCTTTGGATCTCTGTTCTTTTAAAGCAATCATTACAGGGGAAATGCCTACTAAAATCAGTGTTGGATGTAGCCAAGAATTGAAAGATCAGTCCTTAAATTAGAGGTCATGTCTACCAGCTACTGTAATTAAGGGACAGGTCTCTAGCCTGGGGAAAAGTGAAGGTCTAGACAGTCTCTACTAATACATCAACTGGGAATGAAACAAAAGAAAAACTCTTTCCACAACTTTCCAAAGGGCTCCACGTACCACCATCACTATGGCTACATCTATACTGCTGTGTTAAACCTACAGAGAGCCCATGCTAGCTGACTCAAGCTTGCTCTACAGGTTTGTTTAATTGTAGTGCACACATTTTGGCTCAGGGTGTAGCTCAGGTTGTAGAACCATGTAAGTTGTGAGAATCTGGCTGTACCCAAGCCAGAACACTTCACTGCAATTAAAGAGCCCCTTAGCCCAAGTCAGACAGCACTAGCCAGCCATGGGTTTTTCATTGCAGTGTGAACTTTAAACTACCACAATAGCAATTTCACATTTCTAAACAAAAACTAGAGAAGAGAAGATTGTTAGTGCACACAAGAAGGTCTTTCTAAAATTGATATATGTTCTTCTTTGAGCACACTCCTACAAGTGGTAGTATCTAAAGTAGTTCAAGGATGAAAAATTAAGTCTTGTTGTCACATCAGTAAAAACAGAATCAAGTAAGAGTGCTGAATGACCTACCTGCAGTCTGCTCCTCCCTGGCAATTATTATGGCAGTTCGGGCAGCTTCTCTGTATTGCTTTAGTGCCATGTACAAGCGGAACAGAAACTTGGCGTCCTTAATCAGAACAACACAAAAGTAATTTTGTTGGGACTATAAACTGTTGTACCACTTTTGAAATCTTGAGCTCTATCAAACAAATATCAAGAGGCAGAACAGATTTGTCTGAACTCTGGAGCTTGGCCATACCCTGTCTCCCTGTGCACTGTGTTCTCTGCCTATGGCAGTGCAAGCAAAACTGTGGTTCAGTACTCTCACTTATTTCATTGATTGCTAAACTAGCTTTTTAAAATATTTTTGGGAGAAGTAGTGAGAAGAAATCTCTATTCTCTCTCCACCAAGGAAAAATTGTTATTGGACCTCCACTGCTTGAAACAGCTCTTTAATAAGCCAAAACTGCTCTTGGACTGAAGAAGAAGTGAGTTTCAGAAAGTAAATCAAGGAAATTTTTCAATTCTCAATAAACAGTACATGAAATACAGGTGAAAGAGACCCCTCTTTCAGCTGAAATGCAACATTCATGTAAATCTTCTGACATGAAAAATTGTATAATACACAATCTGAAAAAAGTTGGAGAAAACACACTGATCATGAGGTGTCTAATATTGAAGAAATTGAATTACTGGATAGTTCCAGTAATATTAATGCTAGTTAATCATAGAAGTTTTTGAAATTTACCTATGAGTTTTGTTTATGCTTCTTGGTATTTAACAGTAAATTTGTAGTGGAGAAGCAATTATGAAAAAGGTATACCATTTTTATCTTGCAAGAACCTTTTAATTATAATTGAGATTAAATTAAATTAAAATTATTATAAAGCAGTACTGATGCTAAAATGTTGACCTTGAAATTCTGTTCTGTAGTGAACATTGCAATAGCTTCTGATTCAGTAGAAGACAAACACTGGAATAAAATTACTCCTTTTTAGGATAGTACATTTTTTTAGAGAAACAACCACCTTACCACTCAATTTACCAATACTTTTCAAAGTAGTTTAAATATTGTTATACATGCACTTTCAAGATTTAATTTGCCCCGTAATTAAAATATACTATGGTTCAAATTTTCATCCTAACCTTAGTTACACGTGCAAAAGAGTAATAAGGAAGTCTAAGTGTATCAGAAGCTGGAAGCCTGCAGGAGACTGCATGGGTCCTATGGATTTAACATGATACAAAGGGACCAATTTAAGGAGGATAAAGGCAGTGCAGAGATGTTTAGATGATTTTTTAAACTCAGTCTTTGCTACTGAGGAAGTTGGAGAGACTCTTTTCAGATAATAAAAATGGATGTATTATCAGATTCTGAGGTATCAAAAGAGATTGTGCTGGGATAAGAAAATAAATTCATGCCAGGTTCTGCTATCCTTATGTAGAATAATACCTTATTCTGGCAGAAACCCCATTAAAATAAGTGGTACTACTTATGGACTAAGATACTATTCTGCTTGAATAAGGGTGATAAAACTTAGTCATTAAAGAGTAATAAGTCCCCAGAATCAGACGGTATACATCCAAGGGTATGTCTAAACTACAACCTGTGGCTGTCCCGTGTCAGGCTTTGGGGTGCATAGGTATAATTGCAATGTTGACAGATCCCAAGAGATAAGAAGGAATTTAAGAATGAAGAGGCTGAGCTGCTAAGGAAAATATATAATCTCTCATTAAAGTTAGCTACTATATCAGAGGACTAGAGGGCAGCAAAGTATTGGTCTATCTTTAAAATAGGTGCTATGTGGTAATCTTAGCTCAGCAAGTCTTATTTTTCCTGGTAATGAAGTAACAATAATTTAAAGGCAAATCATGTTATATTAAACTGCTATAATTCTCTGAGTAGCATCAACAAATAAAACGTGAAAGAGAACTAGCTGGCAATTTACTTGGACTTTTAAAATACCTTTGGAAAAAGCCCTCAAGAGTTTATTAAGGAAACTAGTCATAGAATGAGAAGCTAAGTATCTGCATGAATTAAAAACTAAGGCTATAAAATGAGAAGCGGAAGTAAATGATCAATTTTTTGTAAAGGGAATAGATGTATTGCAAAGTCACAAGGTCTTTGCTAAGGCCAGTGGTGTTGATATAGTTTTCCCTGCACTGGGAAGGGTAGTGAGCAAATGGGTGAATTTGCAGATGATGCAATAATATTTAGGTTAGTCAAGAAGGGAGAAACCTGACAAGGGACCCTGACAAAACTAGGCAAGTTCTCACAATGATAGCACATTAAATGACTGCTGACAAGCAAGGCAAAACAAATAGGAAAGAATAATGTGAATTACTTAAATACAATCCTGGGTTCAAAACTGACTACTATACACTCATCTAAGGACTTGGGAGACATTAAAGATTGTTCAACAGAAACTTCTGGTCAATTTGCAACAGTAGTAATAAAAACAAAGTATTAAGAATATACAGGCAGTCCCCGAGTTACGCGGATCCGACTTATGTCGGATCCGCAGTTACGAACGGGGCTTTTCTCGCCCCGGAGGACTGGAGCGGCGGGACGCCCAGATCCGGCTCCCCTTCTCTCTGGTCTGCAGGGAGACCAGGAGCAAAGCCTTGAAGCACACCCGCAGCGGGACAGCCCAGGCGCGCCCGGGCTGTCCCGCTGCGGGCATGCTCCGCAGCTTTGCTCCCGGTCTCCCTGCAGACCAGAGAGACGGGGAGCAAAGCGTTGGAGCTAAAGGTCTCAAACTGTGTCAACCAATAATTGAAAACTTACAAATAAACAGTCCAGCTTTTTAAAAATATGGGCCTAAATGTTTTCATTTTATATTGCATGCTTTCAGGCGCGCCCGGGCTGTCCCGCTGCGGGCATGCTCCGCAGCTTTGCTCCCGGTCTCCCTGCAGACCAGAGAGACGGGGAGCAAAGCGTTGGAGCTAAAGGTCTCAAACTGTGTCAACCAATAATTGAAAACTTACAAATAAACAGTCCAGCTTTTTAAAAATATGGGCCTAAATGTTTTCATTTTATATTGCATGCTTTTTAAATTGACTCTCTAAGAGAAAACATAGTTTTACATAGTTAAGTACCCTTTTTAGAACTTTAGAAAGCAATGTTGCAATGGATCACTACTCCTTTTTAATTTTAATTTTGGAAATTCTATAGAATTTTGTTTTCAGAGTTGCTTGTTTTCAATTTTAAAAACGTGTGTGTGTAAAAAAAAAATCACAACAGCAGAATCTTGTTAATTAACACTCAAAGAGATATATATTATAGTAAGCAAACAGAGAATATAAAGCAAGGATATTGGATCACAATCCTTTTGTCTTAACTCTGACAAATTTAGTTTCGTATAATATATTTATTACTATATTATATTAGAATAGAAAGGTTACAAAACATTTATTAAAAGTAGTAAAGTCTTAGTAATGTAACACCTTACTACAGCCCTGTGCTATTAACTCATTATTGAGAAAGGGAGTGATGACAAGCAGCCTGTTTTGAAAATTATCTAGTTTGGGAATAAAAGAATAGAGAGGATTAACAAATTTCTGCTGCACTGCTTCAATTTAGATTTTATCTCCAGTGAAATAAAAATTATATAATCTAAAAGATATTATTCAATAAAAATGTTACACCGATTGTCTGAGAATTTCAATTGCATTTGGCTGTACAATGTAACAAAGTTACAAATTATTTGTTTTTTCTTTAATAGCTTTTTAAACAAGTTACTATGATTTGATAAAGTAAAATGATGTTACTCACTGAGAGAGACTATGGCAGATGGGGTAAAGCATTCAGAAGAACAAGAGAGAGCTTTTAAATAAGGAAAAGAATGCCCTTCATACAACTTGCAAAACAATGTTAAACATGACAATGAATGTATTCACAAAATGAAAAAGATGTTTTATAAAAAAAATTAGACTGTTAGAACTGTTTCTCAAAAATGTTTTCATATTGTGGGATCACTTCCAATTTCTCCATTCCACGCATTCCCTGAGGCAATCAGATTGCTTGGTTGTAGTTTACAGCTGCAAGCAAGCAAGCAAACAAGCAAAGATAGAAAGACAGATCGAACAAACAGGATGCAACAGTCAGTCCATTTTCCACCCACAGTTTATATCTCTGTTCAACAATGTTTGTTAGTACCAGATCTCTCATCACAGCTCTTACAGTTCCAATCTCTCCAGTTTAATTTGCAATTGAATTCCATCCTCCTGAGCGTATGTTCCCTGTATAATTTGTGTCATCCATATTTCTAATGAAAGGTAACATTACATCAAAACATCACCCAACGAAGACAGATAAAGCAGCTGCAAAAAGTACAGAGATGTTTTGTCACTAAATGCCCAAAAGACCAATTCCTGGCCCTGTAATAAGGCACAGCAAGGAAAAGGCCAGGGCTCTGCAACCTCACTATTGAGTGAAAACCACAACTAGACTCTTAAAGGCATATAGACATATAGTTGCTACTGAAGAACAACTCTACAGCTGTCAAACCCAGCTCCATGCCTACAGAGCACAATGAAGAAGTTACTCACTTTGTGCAGTAATGATGGTTCTTCGAGATGCGTATCCCTGTAAGTGCTCCACTGTAGGTGTTGGGCTTGTCCTGGTGCCGCAGATCGGAGATCTTTTTCAGCTATAGTCCGCCAGACCGCGCATGCACAATGTGTGTCTCGTGCTTTTTGCGCCGTTTGTGTGTGCGTGGTCCGGCTCCCACCAGTTCCTCAAGCGTCTGAAAGACATAAGAAACAAGATACTCGGAAGAGGGGAGGAGGGTGGGTCGTGGAGGACCCACGGGGACATGCATCTTGAAGAACCATTGTTACTGCACACAGTGAGTAACTACTACTACTTCTTCAAGCAGTGTCCCCATGAGTGCTCCACTGTAGGTGAATTCACAGCAGTAGCCTATTTACAGGAGGCGGGATTCAGAGTTATTGCACTGCTGCCGTGGAGAGGACAGCTGAGGCAACTGCTGCATCGGCTATAAGCAGATTATGTATAGCATAATGTTTAGCGAATGTGAAGGCGGAAGACCACGTAGCTGCATGGCAAATGTCTCGTAGGGGAACCCCTTGAGGAAGGCAGTTGAAGTTGCCATCGCCCTCGAG